TTCCTTCCAGGGCTGCTCACGCCTGATAAACAGCCCTGAGCTGCTTCTGCTCTGCCAGGTTGGTGCAGAGCAGCTGCTCTATGTGAGGCTGTGGGATGAGCTCCTGGCCCTGTTGTCTCTGGAAATGGGGTTCCTTAGAGGGTGGAGAGGGGGATGTGGGGCTGTGTRCCTGGGAAGCTGCACTTTGGAGTTCCCTCAGTGTCCAGGCTGTGTTTGTTGCTTGTGTGTGCATGACAGGAGCTGGCAGAGATCCAAGACTTGTTTTGTAAAGCAAATCCCAGAATTGCTGCCTTTCCAGCTCACCAAAGCTGGGATTGCCAAGCATCAGAAAGCTGAAAGTGTTACAGCTGAGCTGCCCAGGTTTGGGCTGTGCTGATGTGTCCGTGGCTGAGCTGCTGATGAGCTCCATTTCCTTTTCCCCACAGATCCCTGCAGAAAATCATCCCCAAAGAGGAGGAGCCCAGCTTGGTAAGGTCCCAGCTCTGGTGTCTGGCCCAGAGCAGTGGGAGCTGCTGCCAGGGTGTGCTCTGAACTGCCTTTCCCTCCTCAGAGTGACAGCAAAGCCCAGGGCCGGAGGCACCTCTCTGCCAGGGAGAGGAGGTGAGAGCCAGGGCGTGTTCAGGGGATCCCAGAACCCCAGGGGGGTGTGTTAGAAGGGACCTTAAGGACCATCTCATTCCCTGCCATGGCAGGGACACTTCCCACTGTCCCAGGCTGCTCCAAGCCCCAAGGTCCAAGGCACGTGGACACTTCCAGGGATCCAGGGGCAGCCACAGCTTCTCTGGGCAAAAATCTCTTCCCCATTCCCTCCCCAGGTCCTGGGCACATCTGTGCTCCCAGTCTGGGCTGATCCCATTGTCCATTCTGCATTTCCTGCTCCTGTCCTTTGGGAATTGCTGGCTGTGAGCAGTTTCACTGAGGAGGGGTTGTTCCCCGTGTTCCTCTAGATCCCTGTGACAGAGAGGCAGGGTGGGAATGCTGTCAGGGGAGAGCAGCCTCTCTTGTCACAGCAAAGCAGGATGTTGTGGTTGTTCTCCTCAGAGAAATGAAGAAAAAGAAGCAGCAGAACAACTGTGAGAACTTGGAGCTGCCTGAAGAGAAGCAGAAGGAGACGGAGACAGAGACCCAAGCTCCAGCTGCTCCCAACAGCCACAAGGCTGCTGCAGCCCCTCCGCCCATCAAGCGGGGCCAGAAGGTGGGCAGGGAGCAGGGGGATCCCTGGGCTGAGCTGTTGGCAGGGAAGTGTGGACAGAAATGCCAGATTGCCCTGGCAGCCTGGTGGTTTGGGGCTCGTGGTGGTGTTCAGGTGGTTTCAGGAGGATTGTGGGTTAGCACGGAGCTCACTGGAACYGTGCCCTGATGGTGAACTGCTCTGAAAGAGTTTGGGATGCTGGGAAGGAAAGTGCGTGAGAGGCACTATCTGTGGAAGCAAAACTGCAAAAAGTCATGATTTCTGAAGCTGCTGGTGTTTCCTTCTGCAGAGTAAAATGAAGAAGATGAAGGAGAAGTACAGGGACCAGGACGAGGAGGACCGGGAGCTCATCATGAAGCTGCTGGGGGTGAGTGAGGCCGGGCAGTCCTGTCTTCCACAGGGGGTGGTGGCTCTGGCCAGCAGCCCTGAGCACCCGTGTCACCACAGTCTGCAGGATCCAGCAAGGAGGACAAAGGGAAAAAGGGGAAGAAGGGCAAGATGAAAGAAGAGGCAGCAAAGAAGCAACAGCAGAAAACCAAGGCCCAGCGTCGAGCAGCCGGGGGCAAGGAGACCCTCCCAGCAGGAGTCCTGCTGCACGAGGCACAGGAGCCGGCCCTGGATGAGCTGCAGGATGACAAGGTGAGGAGTGGGATGGGCAGGTGGAACAGGAGGGGAAGGTGGAACAGGAGGGGAAGGTGGAGCAGGAAGGGAAGGGGAGCAGCAGGAGGAGAAGGGGAGCAGCAGAGGGGAAGGGGAGCAGCAGCAGGGGAAAGTGGAGCAGCAGGAGAGGAAGGGGAACAGCAGCAGGAGGGGAAGGTGGAGCAGCAGCAGGGGAAGGGGAGCAGTAGGAGGGGAAGGGGAGCTGCAGGAGGGGAAGGGGAGCTGCAGGAGGGGAAGGTGGAGCAGGAGGGGAAGGGGAAGGTGGAGCAGCAGGAGCAGAGGGTGAGCAGCTCTCTCTTCTCTCCTGTGTGTCTGTCCCTACTGTGGCTCTCCTGGCTCTCTGTAGCTGTGAGGCTGAGCAGCTCCCCATGGATTTTGGGCACTGTGGAGRGCTCTGTGCCTGTTACCAGGGCTGGGGGAGCCCACTGGATTCCCAAAGCCCTGCAGCAATCCCTGTGCTCATCCTGAACTGGGTCTCAGAGCAGTCCCAAGGATCCTGTTCATCCAACAGCCGAGCTGGAATCGAGCACCCAGCCCTATTGGTTTGGGATCTCTGAGCCCCATCTCCCTCCCACCCCTATTGTTGGGGTTTGGGATCTCTGAACCCCATGTCCCTCCCAGCCCTGTTGYTGGGGTTTGGATCTCTGAATTCCATCTCCCTCCTCCCAGCCCATGTGCCAGGCAAATCAGAGATTGGAAAGAAACACTCCWCTCTCCCACCCATGGGAAAATGCTGCTGTTACCTTTACTGTGAAACGAGTTCAGCTCTCTTTGCAGGGAGAATGGGCCCTTCTGGGGCCTCCTAAAAAGGATTTATTGRGGTCAGGGGAGGAAGCAGCAGCTGGGTGGTTTCTGCAGCCCTRATGTGTCCTTTGTTTGTGTGTGCAGGAGGAGCAGGACCAGGAGCAGCCAGGACTGGAGGTAAATGCTCAGCTCTGTCAGTGCTGAGGTGGGGGCTGTTCCTGCTGGGACTGGGGAGGGCTGGGAGAACCCTCCAGGAATCTGAACCCACCTTAATTGTGTTTTTAAAAATTAACCTCCTTTCCTTCCTGCCCTGCTCATCTCCACATCCTCCATAAGCCCAGAGCTCGCTCCATGGCTGTTCCTGGTTTTTGCACCCCCAGCCTTGGTGGCTCTGGGCTGGAAGATGACACAATGAGCAGGGCAGACTGTTTTTAGTTTAGAGGTTTATTTACATATAAATTTGCTTCAAACTCTTCTGTAACTACAGGCTGTGGGTGTTGCCTGAGGCTGGGAATTGCTGAATTTCCTTTAAATTCCTTAATGAAGGATAACAGTGTTTGCCATGGGAAGCTTTTGGTGACCCTGTAACTCCACTTGGGGGGCCGAAACTAAGATCCAGCAAAGGATTTTAGTGATGAAAGAGGATCAGCCATGAATCCTGGCTTGGTAATTCCATGCCAGTGATGTGATCATGGATCCAGGGAATGGTTTGGGTTGGAAGGGACCTTAAAGGCCCCGTTCCCAGCTCAGGGCAGGGACAATCCGGTGACTCTGGCAGGGAAGGTTGGGGACAGGGCCTGGGTCCAGTGCAGCTCTTTGTCCCCCAGGACAGCGTGGCCCTGCTGGACTCCCTGACTGGGCAGCCCCACCCCGAGGACCTCCTGCTCTTCGCTGTCCCCATCTGTGCTCCCTACACAGCCATGACCAACTACAAGTGAGTGGCAGCACCTTCTCGGGAGGGGGTTTGGTGCCAGCTCCTTTTCCTTACAGAAACCTTTCCTTTGGGCAGGTATAAAGTCAAGCTCACTCCAGGCACCCAGAAGAAGGGCAAAGGTATGGTCTGAAAGSCCTGAATCCTTCCCTGTGCTCTGCCTGCTGAAGCCAGCATGGTTTTCCAAGTTGTTTCACCTTTCCCTGTGTTTTTCCAGCTGCCAAGATYGCCTTGCACAATTTTATGCAGTCCAAAGAAGCCAGTGCAAGAGAAAAGGACCTGTTCCGCAGCGTCAAGGTGCTGCTTTCTCTGCAGTTTCTCTTGTACAAAGTCACAGCAGCAGCAAAATGTCCACAAGGGCCATTTTGGGGGGAAAATGCTGCCAAAACTGAGTGTGCTGTTGGTTTGGGGTTTTTTGCAGTGCTGCTGGGCAAGGTMAGTCCTGGAATGGTTGGGTTGGAAGGGACCTTAAAAACCGACCCATCCCATGGGCAGGGACACTGCCCAGCTTCTCTGGAAAAGCTGTGCTGCCAGGCTGGGAAGAACCATTAGGAACTGGTAGCACTGGGCCTTTTGTTCCTTTATTGTGTCACTCCTGTCTGATAAAAGCAGCATAATCCAAGAAACCTCTGGTGTTGGGAGGGGGAATTTCTGTGGCAGGGGCAGGTGCTCCTGCCTGGTGCTCACCAGGGACAGAGGAAAGGGATCATCCCTGGGCTCCAGAAATGCTTTCCTGCTGTACTCACTTTGTCCTCTTCTCTCTAGGACACCGACTTGTCAAGGAATATTCCTGGGAAGGTGAAAGTGTCTGCACCTCACCTCCAGAACATGAAGAAGAAGTGATTCCATGCTGGGGATTCTCCCCACTACACTGGACCCAGGGCTGGGACAGACACAGACCCACGACCAGGACTGAGAATTCCAACACCCAGGGCCTGCACCCCGGGTGCTTTAGCTGGACTTTGGTACCRATAGCAGATAAATATGGAGTAAATYGCTGGCATTTGGTCAGGAATGTCCTCCCCTGCTGCTGCTGCTTCTCTCATTGACCACTTGTTCCCCACTGCTGGAATTTGGGACAGGAAAACTCCAGGGTGTTCAGTTCCTTCCTGCCCTGTGCCTCTGGCAGGGCTTGGAGCTTCCGGGAGGGCAGTTCCAGGGGAGAATGCTTCCTCTGGGAAGATGGAATTGTATTTCTCCCCACATTCCCTGGCTGTGGAGAGAGGGAAGGTGCAGGCCCAGATCCCCCAGCCCAGCTGTGTCAAAACCTTGGGGAGGGGCGGCAGAGCAGGGCTGGGAGTCAGGAGAAACTCACGGCATCTCTCAGGAATTACAGCACAGGAATTGTTCTAGAAGTCAAAGTTTTTAATGGTTTTTTTGAAGACAGCTTGAAACATGATCCCCCCCCTTCCCCACAGCAGCASAGCCTGTCCCTGTCCCCTGTGTCCCCACAGASMTGGGTCAGCCAGGGCAGGGTGACMCTCTCCAYGTCCCTGCACCCARGGGAGATCCCTGGAGCTGCTCCAGGWGCAGGGGAGCTCCACAGGGACAGGAACAGGCATGAAGCACTCTCAGTTACACTCGCAGGGCAGAATATCTGCTACCTAAGGTTCACAATTGAAGTTCCACAACATAAAAATTCCAAAAAAAAAAAACCAAACTACAGCCAAGCAGAGTAGTGGTGCTTTAACATCTCCAGATTTATGACAGTTTCTCGACCGACAAGGGGACAGTTCCAGATCCTGCTTCTCTGACCTTAAGCATTTGTGGCAAAACGTGAAGCTGTGGGCTGACCACGATCTGCAGCCTCCGGGGTGTGCTCAGCATTCCCTGCACAATTCCCCAGCTCCTGTCCCCGTGGACACCCTCCCCCTCTCCCGGGGTYGGCCTCGCCCCCTCGGGGTGCACAAACCCCGGGGCCGCAGCTTAAGCTCAGGCTCCTTCTCCTCCGGCATTAAATACATTGATTGCAAACATCTCGACACAAAAATAGGTTCTCTCTAGGCCATTCACATGCAACGGGAAGGCGAGAAGCGACTACCTACGACACAGAGGGAGGGAGGGTTCACCGACACACCTTTAATGGGTCTCTGTCCCGGGCTGGCCCGGCCGCGGGGCTCAGGAGCCCGAGGTGTTGTTGCTGCCGAAGCGTTGGTTGACGCTGTGCAGCAGGTGCTTGGGCAGGCAGTTCCAGGAACTGGCCAGCATCTCCTTGAAGCAAATCACGGCCTCCAGGCACAGCCTGTGAACACAGGGATGCTGTCAGGGGGGTGAGGCTGCGTGGGGAGCTCCTGCCTTACAGCTGGGGTTGGGGTGAGGGTGCTCTCAGGGTGCTGAGGGGATCCTGCTCTGTCCTCACATCTGGCTGCTGCTCCAGGGAGAAACGTTCTCCAGTCTTTTAGAAACATTAAACTGGTCTAGAGGTAACTGCCCCACTTGTCTTCAAAACACAGAATGGTTTGGGTTGGAAGGACCTTAAAGCTCATTCCATCCCACTCCACCCCTAAAACAGGCAGGGACAACTCCTACTCTCCCAGGCTGCTCAAGCTCCATCCAGTCTGGCCTTGGGACACTTCCAGGGACCCAGGGACAGCCACAGGTTCTCTGGGCACCCTGTGCCAGGGCCTCCCCTCCCTCCCAGGAATTTCCTCCTGCCAGCTGAGCTGGGGACACCACAGTTCTATGGTTTAGTGCTGCTTTCTTACCTTACAAGAGATCTCGGTTGTAGGGAGAACACAAGGATTTCGTTACTGTGAGCCTGGAGGATAGAGAGAGAGAGAGAGAGAGACAGAGAGGGTTGGTTCTGTGGGTTCACAGCAGGAGCCAAAGCAGCCCAGGCTCACACAATCAGATCAGGGAATCCCAGAATCGTTGGGATTGGAAGGAGCCTAAAGCTCATCCCCAGGCAGGGACACCTCCCACTGGAGGAAGCCTTCAGCTTTTTGAGCCTTCAGGCATCTGCACTGAGGGACTCTGCACAGGAGCAAAGCATTTCCCCCTCAGGCTTCCCTGTGCACCTCTGTGATCAGCTCACACTCACTGCAGTGATCCAGCACCGCAGATCCCACGGGAAGGGAAAGTTCAAAACCAACTCACAGCTTTGGAATGGGCCAGAAGGTTGTTGGCACAGCCCCCAAAGATGATCACCTCGCCCTCCTCGCTGGCACAGGCCGTGTGCCACAGCCTGGGAACAGAAAGCAGCTCTGCATTAACCACAATCCCAGCACTGGGAAGATCCCTCCTCACCCCAGCCATGCCAAAGGGGGAAAGCCAGGAAGTGTCACTGCTTTAACTCAGCAGCCTGGCTCGGATCCCTGCCCATATTGGTGCACCACAGAGGTTTTGGGGCTTTGAATTGCAGGTCACAACTCCTGTCCCCTCAGCACGGAGTAAGAACCTCCCTGGGTGTGCACAGGATGAGCCTCTGGGCAGGACCTGGGTGACACCAGCCCGTGCCCCGTTTGCTGGCAGACCAAGGACACTGGTTCCAGTTAGCTCTGCTGCTGCAACTCACAGCTCAGAGGCCTCTGCAGCCAGATCAAACCCTAAATCCCAGGATCAAACCCTAAATCCCAGGAGCAAACCCTAAATTCCACATTTCCTGCCACACTTCTCAGCCTGCCTGCAGCACCTGCCCTGTGTGTCACTCACCCAGAATTCTGGGAGCACACAAACCCTGCACCTCTGGGACACATGGAAAAGGAGAGTGGTGAGAGGAACGTGTGTGCTCCCTCTCCTCTTTCTGACAGCCACATCCAAGTACTTCCACAGCCCTTTAATCATAATTTTCCAGGGAATTGTCTGCCTTACCTTGGTTTTTCAGAGTAGTTATGCTCAAACTGTACCCACTCATTCTTGCTGATACAGTAAATCCAGGCATCACCTGAAACCAAGCAGGTATATATAAAAATTGTATTATATATATATATATAATATATAGTATATATATATATATATATATATATATATATAATCCCAGGTATAAACAGGATTCTGTTAGTTCTGTAAGTCTGCTGCAATGAACAAATACTCTGGTGTAGCACAGCCCATTGCTATGCTTAGACAAATATTTTAGATATTATATATCTAAAAAACATTATGTAAAGCATTGGCTCCTGTTTGACAATGGATGTTTAATGTACCAGAGGTTTATGGGAGTGAAGGTGGAGAATGTGAAGCTGTCACTAATTACAATTTGCATTAGGTAAGTTTTTAGAGCAGATGAACACACTCAGAAAGCTCCTGCTCGGTAGAATGAGCTGCTGGCCATGAGGAGCTGGATCACCTCAAGTGGAATTTAAAAGGAATTCAAGGCAATTATTCAAGCTGCTGTGCACAGCTGTTCAAGAGCACAAAAACACCACCAAATCCCTTTGGAATGACTTACTCAGGGGCTGCTTGTCAGTGGTGAAGCCTCCAAAGAGGAAGAGGTGATCCGAGGAAATCGGTGTTAAGGAATGCCACGATCGGCCAACGGGGCAGATGCCTTGGGTGAGTCTGCAATAAAAACACCCCAAATCATACATCAGGACAACAAAATCCTGCTGCTTTTTCCTGCTCTGATTATTTTTCAGATACCTGCAGGATACTGCAGTGATCCAAGGACAAGTTTAATTTCTTTAGACACAAACAATTTTAGGCAGATCAAGTSTGAGTACCCACATTTCATTCCACTCCCACGTGTCCAGGTTCAGGTAGTAAAAGTCGTTCATTCTGGACTCCTACAACAAAGCAGAGCTGGTTCAAACCTCCTGCTGAGCTTTGGGTATCTCAGGGTTCAGCTGGGCTGGGCTTACCCTGTATCTGCCTCCAAAGACGAAACCCCGGTTCCCAACYGTGGCACAGGCGTGAGCAGCTCGAGGGGATGGGGTCTTACCCTGGGAAAGGAAAGGGACATCACAAATCTGTCACCAGAGGACAGGAGAGGCTCAGCTCACCTCAGAGATAAGGCCAGCAAGGAACAGTGTGAACAAAACCAGCCAGTAAATCAGCCTGTGTGCAGGCTTGCTTTAGTGATGGATGATTAGAAAACTCATTAAAAATGGGGTTTATTTTTTCCCTCATAAAGTTTATAAATTTTGCTTTTAGCAGAGGGTTAAACYACAGAAGACAGAGTGTAAATGAGACAGTGACATGATAAATCTTTATATTCATAAACCATGAAGTGTCCAAGGCCAGGCTGGACAGGGCTTGGAGCAACCTGGGATAGAGAGGTTTTCCTCCAACCCAAACCATTCTGGAATTCCATCAAACACTATTTTTCTTGAGCTTCTGAAATATTTGAGACTTGTATGAAGTAATCAGAGCAACTCTTTGGCAATCTGGAGTTACTTGCCACAGATTTCACTTCCTCCAACTCTGTGGCAACACCACCCCAGTTCCCTGCTCCTGAACGCTCCTGGGACACTCCAAATGTGTATATTTGCAATTAGGAGAGTTGAATTCTTTCCTGACCACAATTCAGCACCCAAGGGCCACGTAGCAAACCCTCACATGGCAGGGAGGGTGACAGCAAACCACACATTGCATTGTCCTGAGCTCCCCGGGAGCACAGCGCAACTGAAGCATGAACCAAAGCAAGCAACGGGAAAAAATGGATGAGGACAGATGAAAATAAAAATCATTTCCTCTTTTGGGAGAGTGCATCTGTGTAAATGAAGGGTTTAAATTCAGTGTAAATGGCTCCAAGAACACTACTAAATAACATTACTGAGCTGTGAATTAACTGACAGCAGACCATTAATTACCGTAGTTATAGGCTGGCTCCAAGTGAAAGTTTCAAGGTCCAGAACATGCACGTGGTCGTTCCACCCTCTAGGAAGGCCTGAATTCTTTAAAAAAAAAAATAAAGAAGCAGCAAATATTAATAAGCATTGATTAAATATTAGAAGTTGAAAGAGAAACGGCTTCCAGGGTTACTCACCCAAAAAGAGGTTTCATCAAATTCAAACGTTCCACGCTGTTTCCCTTCAGGAAAATAGCCATAGCCTCCAAAAAATATCAGCCTGGAAGAGARCATGGACCAAGAGCTGTCAGGAATTCTGTCACATCTGTTGTCATAAAATATAAATATAAAAAATACAMAGGCTGTGCTCAAACTGGAAAGCCAGGGAAGCTCCTTTGGTTTTGGTTTTCCAGGTGTGAGGCTCTGTTGCCTCATCGACCCTCCCACCCACACTAAATCCCTCTGGAGCTGTTTTCCAGCCTCAGGCTTCCACGCTTTGCTCCATATTTTTTTTTCTCTGTTATTTATGCTCCTTTTTCCAAATCTATGCAGTTACCAGCCTGTGCTGCCCGGTCACTGCACCTCAGCCTTTGCCTCCAGGAATCCCACACTGCTCTCCTGGAGTTTAAATGGGAATTACCTCCAAATTTTACCTTTGGGCTTTGCTCTGTATTAGAAACTGGCATGGCTTTGCCAGMAATTCCTACAGGATTATGGAGTGACAGCAAACAATCCATTGCACCACCTAATTAACCACCCACAACTCCAGCCCTGCACAGATTCAATCTGAACTGATCATATCAGGTGTGGTAAGGATGAGCTCRCTGCCCACATCAAGGACCTGAAAACCAGCACTGTGGGCAATTCMAGAATCGCTGACTATCCCTGGCTGGAAGGGACACACAAGGATTTTCYCACCTTTCCAGAGTCTCTGCAGCAAATCCCACAGCAAATATCCCAGCTGGGAGCTCTCTCCATGGAGAGCAGCTCAAGAGTTCAACTCCAAAATCACCACACAGGATTTGGGTTGGGAGGGACCTCAAAGCCCATCCAGTACCAGGAACATTTTCCACTGGTGCTCCAAGCCCCAGTGTCCAACCTGGCCTGGGACAGTGCCAGGGATCCAGGGGCAGCCACAGCATGTGCCAGGGCCTCCCCACCCTCCCAGACAGGATTTTTTTCCCAATATCCCATCCATCTCTGCCCTCTGGCAGTTTGACCCCATTCCCTGTGTCCTGTCCCTCCATCCCTTGTCCCCAGTCCCTCTCCAGCTCTCCTGGAGCCCCTTCAGGCCCCTCAGTTCCTTCTCCAGGTGAAGATCCCAAACCAGCACCACAGTGACTGCAGGGAGGAGGAAATGAGGCCCCTCCTTCCCTGGGGCTTTACCTGTTCTTGTGCACCCACACCCCCAGCTTGTCCTTGGATGAGGGGGGCACCCCCTGGCACTCCACTCTCACCCACTGCAGCACTTTGTCTGTGGATCTGGAATTCAACATGTAGAACTGGAGAAAAGAAAGAGAATCTTTTAACTCACGTGGGTCAGCTCCAAGCTTAAGTGTGGTATTAAAACATTTATAATTAACAGAATTATAGAAATTCTGGCATAGAAATAATCATAAATTAAAAGTTCTTTTCCTAGCTGAAAACCAGAGCACTGAAAACATTTACAACAAGATCTGGATTCACAAATCCTAACCCTTCTGCAGACTCATTTTTTACACTGAGTTGTAAATGGACACAGTTTCACCACCCAAAAGCTGATGTGGGATACAATGAAGGTGTGTACAGAGTACAGCTGTCTTACAATTTTAAAAAGGTTAAAACTTTACAAAGTGGGGTTTTTACAGTATTATCCCTTCTCTGTGTTGGTAACATTTTATGAGAAGAGAACAGGTGTTTGCAAAAGGTTGGACGTGGCACTCAGTGACCTAGTTTAGTTGATAAGATGGTGTTGGATCATAGGTTGGACTCAATGATCTCAAAGGTCTTTTCCTTTAACACTTAAAACACCAGTGTTTAATTAAGTATTAATTACTAATTAAGTAATAATAATTAAGTATTAATTATTAATTAATTTAATTAAGTGTTTAATTAAGTTTAATTCTGTGATCCTGTGAAACAGCTTCTACACTTACATAAAAACTGAAATGTAACAATGCACAGCAGGAAGGGAAGGAGTCACACCTTACATATATAGTTTGTTTCAAACTAGCTGCAAAAATTCCATCAAACTCCTTCTAGTTTGTATTTACATATGAAATAAGCAATCTTATACTTAAATATATAAACTATATATTTATATAGGCCAAAACTATTTAAACCACACTGCCAGAATATCAGAAAATATCATTAATTAATTCCAGTTGACAGGGCAGTGATTGTTCAAAGGCTGGACTCAAGTGATTTAGGATCCCAACCTAAATGATTTTGGGATTTGCACAGACTCCAGGGAAGAGAAACATTTCAACCACCACAGASCAGCTCCAGAAGAGTTCCTGAAATCACTTCAGGCAACTCTGGCAATTCCCATCTTTTAAAATCAGCAAACTCAGAGGCAGGGACACAATCCAACTGATGGGGGAATTGCACAAGAACAGAACCAATGCCAGGTCAGGGTGTTGCTGCAGTGCTGTGAAGCTTCCAGGACACAATCCCCATGGGAAAGGATGGAATAAATTTAGGAATTCCTAACCTTGTTTGTGTTGCCCCGTGCGTGGTGTCCCCCGAAGAGATAAACCACTCTGTCCACACASACGGCACAGCTGCCAGACATGGAGGGAGGAACATCTCCCTCTGTCTTGCTCTTCTTCCTGGAAAAAACAGGCTCAACTATTTCACCTGATCAAAGTGAACGAGGATGGTTTTATTTGGAGGGTTTTAATCRCAATAGGTCACTGCAGACATTCAAATCTCAGTTTTTCCCACCTCTGCRGGTGTAACAATTCACAGAACTACCCTGTTATGATGGAGGGAGTGGGGGAATGTTTAATTAATACATAGTTTTTGGGGGTGAAGGAATCCCATCTGCATAGCTCAGGAGTTTGGAATGCTCAAAATCCTCAGGCAAAAAGGATTCACCTGGGTAAACTGCAGGTTTCTACTTTGCTCCTGCATTTTTCCTGTTTGTAAACATCACAACCACAAAGAGGAGATTCCAGCCCCTGTCCAAGGTTGTTCCTGACCTCAGGGAGGGATGGAAGCACAGCTGAAATCCCACTTCCTGCAAAGCACTGAGGAGCTTCTTTGGCTGCAACAACCTTTAAAAACAGCTCCTGAAAAGGCAAAAACTCAACAGGGATTCCCTGGTCACCACTGTAACCAAAAGTGGTACAAACACCATTTCCAGCTGCTCTATCCTATCCCAGAAATCCCAAAACACTTCTCAGTGGTGATCACACAATCCTGAGCTGCCTCTCCTATCTCACCCTGGGAAGACTTATGGGATGTTTTTTCCACAGAAAAACCCCCAAACCTGAAATATTTTACACATTTTTGCAACGGTTTGATAGGTGGGAACAAAGAGATCAGGGAATTCTTTCCCTGCTCAGCCCCTTACATGCTTTCTACACCAACTCAGGAATTTTTTTCCCCCAAAAATAATGATTTACTGTACCATCTTCCAGTTTCCATGTTGTAGATCCATATTTCATCCCTAGGTAGGTAGAAGTCATAAAATCCCCGGACTTGGGCATTCTGCAGGACAGGTGAGAGAAGGAAGGCAGTGTTAAAAGGATTTCTGACACATGGAATTACAGACTCCTGGGAATGTTTACACCTCCTGTGRGACCTAATCACAGGACAGATCACAGCAGGAGCAGCGCCTGTATTTCCCACACTCCTGCAGCTCCCACCRACATGGAGAGCTGGATTCAGCCCAATTTAGAATCTGCTGGGAACAATCAGCTCCCAGCAGAGCCAGACAGGGGTAAATGGAAGTTAAACCCCTGTTTTATAGCCCAAGCCAGGGAGCWGAAATGAGCCAAAAGTACCTTTTTCATTCCCCCACCCCCTGCCATGACAGGAGTTTATTTATTGAGTCACTGACAATGATTCTGTCACTAAAATGATTTTGTTGTGCTGCAGAACATGCACCCGCAGTGTGACAACCACCAGCCTGGGATCCTTAACACCCAAACACCAATTGTGTAAATAAAATCACCMTTCCCAGGGTGCACAATTCCAATCAGACAATATTCCCTTCACCCTYTGCCAAAGGCAAACAACACCCCAAAATCTGTGTATCTGCCAAGGTTTAACACTCGTGATTTATTCCAGCGTTGCAAAACACGCCGATGTCACATTACAAATCGTTCGCTGTGTTCTGGGGGAGGAATAATCTCCCAGAGTCACTCCCAGACGGAGGGGACACAATTCCCAGCGCGGTGGGTGGCAGTACAGAGGGGCTGTACCTTGTATCCTCCCCAGACGTACATGCAGCGCCCGTCGGTGACGGCCACGTGCCCGCTGCGCTCGGCGGGGCTGTCGTTCTCCAGCTGCTCAAAGCCATCCTCGGCCGGCGCGGGCAGCTCCTCGTCCGCCGGCAGCTCCTCATTCTCATCGGCCATCTCGGGACGTGCTGCACACGCAGGGACAGGGGATTGGCTCAGCTCGACCGGCCCTGCACMGGCACCCCAACAATCCCACCCTGACCYGGAGAACGTTGTCCAAATGCTCCTGTGCTCCAGCACCCTCTGAGGACAGAACCATCTGATACCCAACCTAAACCTCACCTAACAATACATGGGGCTTGGAAAAAYACAGGGAAACTACACACTGTTGTTYCTTTCAYGCTGATGTTTCACTYATTCCATGAGCCAASAAAGTTGCAGGTGGGCATTCCTCAGTAGCGCATGATTTATAATGGTTTCAGTTGCCAATTTGAGCCAAACTCAGCTTACAAAAAAATGAAATGTCATCTATAAATACATTTAATTGATTTGCCCTGAGAAGCTGTGCCTGCCCTACCCCTGGGAGTGCCCAAGGCCAGGCTGGAYGGGGYTTGGAGCACCCTGGGGTGGTGGAAAGTGTCCCTGCCCATGGAACGRGGACAGGACTGGATGAGCTTTAAGGTCCTTCCAACYCMAACCATTCCACAATGTCAAAAAAAACAACCCACCGAGGGATAAATTCAACAGCTTTGCCTACAATAATGGCAGCTCCTGGAGCTTTTCAGCGTTCCCCACACAATGCAGGACATGTCATTTATCCCACACAAAATTCCACAGAACCAACGTCCCTCTCCAAACCCCACGGGCATGTGGAATGCCAAACCCCAGACTGTCCTGGGAAAACACAGATCCAAAGCTCAGGGAAGCCAAACAACCCAAGTTTGTACATCCAAAGCCAGGGAAAAGGTCCTTGGTGGGACAATCACACCCTGCACTCCGGCTTTGGATATTCTGCCTTTGATATTCCCCTACACSGCTCCTGAGGGATTTTTGCTGTTTAATTTTAATCACTCCCACGACGGAGATGCTGCACCACCTTCGGGGGGTGATCTCTGAGCTTTAATTACGATTTCTAATTTAGATTAGCGGGCCTTGCCCACAGCTCCGTGCAACCTGCCTGCTTCGAGCTAGCGGTGTCTTCACAGCCTCAGAGAGACAATATCTATTAAATATACATGTTATATCTATAATTATACTGTATTATATTATTGATTTTACCCCTCCGACACGCTGGGCCGCGTCCCCTTCAGCCATTTCCCTCAGCCCCGCACGCTCTGCCCGCCCCCCTCACACACCGCAGGCGGGGGCTCCTCACGACACGTTCCCCTGTCGCGACATGGCGGGCCCGGCAGGCCGGGGGGGGGCTCCTCGCGACACGCTCAACTGTCGCGACACCGCGCCCGGAGCGCCGTTACCGGCCCGGCCCGAGCCCGCCCCGCGGCCCTCAGCGCCCTCCGAGCCCCCCCGGCCCATCCCGTCCCGTTCCTACCGCGGCCCCGCCGCTGCCGCTCCGCCGTCCCGCCCTCAGCCGCGGCCGCGCCGCCACATCCGCCGGGCCCGGGGGGCGGGGCCTTCCGGAGACACCGCGCAGGCGCGGGGGGAGGGGATGGAGCGGGGGACTGGAATGAGCCCGAAATAAATATTGGGGTACCTAAATAACCCCGAGATTAACATCGGGGACTGGGAATGACCCCGAAACGGGGAATGAGCCCGAAATAAACGTTGGGGACATCCGAATGACTCCGAGATTCACACTGAGGGCACCTAAGTAACCCCGAGATTAACATCGGAGACTGGGAATGACCCCGAAATAAATATTGGGGACTGGGAATGACCCCGACATAAACATTGAGGGCACCTAAATAACCCCAAAATCAACATCGGGGACTAGGAATGACCTCGAAATAAACATTGGGGACATCCGAATGACCCCGAAATCACCCTCGGGGACTGGGAATGACCCCGAAACTGGGAATGACCCCGAAATAAACATTGAGGGCACCTAAATAACCCCAAAATCAACA